CATTCGACATACTATAAATTATGCGTCTTGCACTCTATGTTATAGATATAAATCACTCATCGTGGATACCTCTTTACGTACTGGCTAAAGAAACAAATGGCGTTACATTATATCCACGATATGCGCAACAAAAGATATGCCTGATTTATAGACGTGCCTGTGTTAATTTGTATAGCTCAAGTGTAAGTGTATAAAAAGTTATCTATTTCAAGAAAATTATGAATAATTATTTTGTTAATAACGTAATATCGTGTAATTTATTATCTGTAAACACGTGTGCAGAAAGGAATTATCAGAACAACGTTTTTAATTAATTTGAACGGTGGTTTTCAAAATTAACAATACATGTGCCACATAATTGTCCATAAAAATACAAAATATTTTTACATCGAACCCGTACGCGATAAAACTGCATAAGCAGTAAACAGATGCTCCGTAAATGACGAAGTTTACGTTCTACGGTACTTTTTCTGTCAGGAAATGGTATCTAAATACACATTCTTTAACATGAGAATGCTCGCTGACAGTATGCTTTTTCTGCTTGTGTTTCTATTCCGCTCGACACTGAATATTTTTCCTGAATCAATCATTTCTGTTTTGTAATAAAATATATCAATGAAATGTACCGCATGTATTAATGGTTTCTCAAGAAAATTGTAGTTCCTTGTCAGCTTTGGATTTCTTACGGTAGATAACGTGCTAAAGGGTAAGAGGTACTCAGTTGTATAAATATCGTGGAGTTATCGAATCGAAACATAACCTCTAAAGCAGAGTTACTTTGCTACTATAGCGCCGCTGTGCCGCGCAGAAAGGTTCGAACCATAAAGGGTTAACCCTTCTTGTCGCTGTTACACGTGGTTAATCGTACCGAATACAAGTGCGTGTCTGCAGTTGGCCGAACGGCGTACATATCTAATACGAAGGCGCGTAAGTCCTGCAAATGCTATGGCAAACGTCCAACAAGGCCCCACAAGCCTTCTTATCTTGGGAGGGGACCAGGCCACGCGAGGCCCCTCGACCCCCGTTGTACATTTCCGTTCAAAAGTATCCGAGCACCGACGCGACTCGTGCAGAAATCCATCCTCCAGACGTCGCGACGACGTTGCAGGCTTAAAATTCCTAGCGTGTTTTTTCTCGAAATGAAAATTTCTGTGCGAGAGAAAAACCGAAATAGCGTCCTTCCTACTAATGGCAATTATTTCACGGTCGCTTTGCAAAGACGTTACGAAGCGTTTTGCCTCCTGGAATCTGTGTCACGCGAAGCGTCTTTTAATTTTAACGCACTTTTGAATAGAAGACAACGCACCGTTCTATAGAATATTCAATACGTATGCAAACGTTTGAAATTCATTGTTTTCGTAACTTTTCTTCGGGAATAAATATTCGTATTACACGCCGTGATGAAATATCTAAGAAGATTAAATAAATATTCGTGTATTTATCTTGCACGAATTAATTACCAATCCAAATGCATACTCATGTACTAATAATAAAGTCAATTTGCCCTCGCAGGTGTGTTTGCATTTTTCCGTCTATAATCTCAGTCGTTTTACGATGCAAGGAGCCTATATTTATAGAACTGCTTAATTGCATTTTTGTGTACCAAACACGTGAACAATGTCGATGATATTGGAACACCATAAATATGACGTGTCACCGACGAAGAAACTTTTTATTCCCACGGAAATTTTACTTCGTACCGATTATCGTCAAAAGTTCCACGAATGGAAACATTGCACTCTGATCATGGCACTCCTGACTCAGCCGTAAGAAAACCTTGCTCGTAGTTCAGGCTTTATTAAGAAAAATATGGCAATGGACGGTGACTACATGTTTCAACGACTTCATTGAATGTCACTCGAATTAAATAAATGCGTTCATTTTATTTCGTTGCATGCCGGCTTTTTTTCTGCATTTAAGTAATTTATAACGTAATTTTATTCCAATTGGACATTTCTAGAACCACAAATAACAATTTATCGGTCGTATATGTCCTGCGTCGAATTGCAATGCAACGATTAACGTTCAACACAATTATTAAAAGTCTGCGTAAAATTAGATTATGGGAAATAAAATAGACCGTAACGTGAATTAAAAAAAAAATATATACAATTCGTATAAATGATCGGTTGAATGCAAATTTATGAAATTGGCAATCAATTTTAATACGCGCCTGTAACGTTCTGTCATTCATTGCGTACGAATGATGATGGAGTCCGTAATTACGACTTGTTTCAAGAGGGATGTACTCAAATTACTGTGTGACCCGGAAAACCGCAAGCCTGGCCAATCGAAACTAATTGATTAAAAAGGTAAGAACACCCTTCGGTTTAGCCTCCTGGCGGACGCAATCTGGTTTTTAGGCGCGGCTACGAAGCGTCTACAAGACGGTGGCAACCGACTGCTTCAGTGGAAATTTCCATTGCAGTTGGCATGCCGTGTGGTGTGACTGTACAGTCCACTATAAAAGTAGCAGCTTTCTTATTTTAATCGGTACGCTCCTTAAACGAAACTATTCCTCATATTTTTCTATAAAAATCAATACGTGACATTATAACGGAATCCCAAAAACATATAAATTAAAATACGTAATCACATTTCTATTAGCGGCAATAATTCAAAACCATCTTCAATATATCCGTGTCAATACCTCGATATAAGTACTTTAAAAAATGTATACTATTAATGATCACAAATAATGTAATATATTGACGAGGATATTGTTGTAATGTTATATATTATTCAGTTAACATTGAATTTCACTTCTGATTATATTTTGTACTTTGGTTAAAGTTAAAATTATACTTTTGTTTGGTTATACAATTTGAAAGCTTGAAATACAACAAAAAATTGTTTGAAAGATTAACTTTGTACGTTTAATTGTATCATTAATTGGAAAAAGCAGAATGCTCGGGAGAAATGGCAGGACACAAATGCCATGTGATAAATCACGTGGTAGCCTTACATCACAGAAAATTCGTACGAATGTTCAATAACTACTCTTACTCTGCTATATCGACCTCGATTATTTCATGCTCGCACTTGCGTTTAATCATATAGGTAATTTATAATACGTATATACTAATGTACTTTCATTCCTGTTCCCACTATCGTTTCTTCGCCTTCCTTGAGGATTTCATGTTATCGTAGGCAAGGGCAATTCTGCACCAACATATGTATACGTATACATACACTGACGAAATTCCATAGTCCAATCGTAGGTAATATTTCTACGAAAATCTATCCGTGACATTACTAAATTATGTATGTTGCATACAGAAGCTAAATTTGTGAAGGTAGATCTCAAATTATAATAGAATTAAAAAAATTCACTTCAAAATCTAATGAATTCAGTGAATATGTTTTCCTCTATCTTGTTAGAAGATAGAAGAAAAGAACAAATTATGATTATTCACTAGTTATTTTCATTGATCCATATTACAGAAAATAAACTTTCTTTTGCATTATTTGCAGATTTGTTTTGCCTCTATGGACTAATGTTATTAACTACTATTTTTATAAGAATATGTAAGTACGTAATTTATTGACAAATTTGATCTTTAATAATAAAATAAAGTGCATATTTAAAATTATAAAATTGAATATGTTTACCAAATTTGTATCGCTCCGTTTCGAAAAAAGTACAAGTAGCAAATTTTAACTATACTATGTTATATAATCGTGTATACTTTCATTGTGATGATTCATAATTTACAATAATATTTTCAATTAAATACAAATTTTTTTATTTGGTTCATCATTCTCGATATTTTATATCCGACTTTCATATCGAGTTTAATAATTGTCCAACTTATCTAATAAGTGTGGATTTGTAACTTTCTTAATAGAAAAAATAAAGAAATAATGTTTCCTGGCAGTGTAAAGAAACTTAGTAACAGGACTGAATTACGACAAAATTTTTTTTAGATTTTATCAAACAAAATTGTTGAACCGATAGAAATGTTCGAAGAATATAGGGAAACAAAGAAATATCCCTAGCAGAAGCACTACACCGGGGAACATGTAGTTTAAAGAGAAACTCAACCAACGCAGGCTACCTTTTTTGCTTTAGTATACACTACCGCCATCTTTATGTGCTGAAGGTAAATCTGGTAGCAAGAGTGAAAGTTTGGTCTTTTAAACATAACCAATGCCAGTATAGTTCAATATAGCTTGCAACTTGACAATTTTTCTTACTCTTGCGAAGTTTTGTTAAATATTATGTGTAATTTCTATTAATAAAACTTACATTTTGAGTTCCATAAAACTGACGTTTTATTTCACAATTATTTCAACATTTTTCCTTCTCTTAAATCCATACAATATCCATTTTTATTCCATTAAGGCACCTTACGAAGCCATTTTGGAAAAGAATTTACCCGCGAAAATTTGTTACATCCAACAACATGACTGTTTTTTTGTTCTGCGAAGAAAAGGGTTAGTCTGCACTGGTAACTTTCCCCTTAAGTGGCAAGAATTAATACTCTCCGATATACAGTATAAGAAAGAAATACAAGTAGTGCCACACATTAAATATAATATTTAAGTTTGAGTAACCGGCTTGCATCAAGTAACGACGAATTATCTGATAGGACGTTGACATTTTCCGATAATTTATCAAGAGTTGCTGTAGAAAAGTTATCTACGATCAGAGTATCGCATAAACAATCCCACGAGCACCTGACATGTTACTATGATTTTATACAATCATACGCATGTCTCAATAACGTTATTGCATCTAATTATCGTTCTTAAAATATACTGTGGCGTGTCATACCGTCACTGCTGGCAGTTGTTTTTTGAACGCGGCTTGATTCCACGATTCAATATTTCTAAACTTTGAACTGTTAATGAGGAAGTATTTGTCGTCTTTTCCGCCTTCCTAATTTTACCGTAGACGTACACGCACATAAAGAGGTTTTCTTACTTTTGAGTCACTGGATTGACTATCACATGTTCTTCATGCGAACGCTTCTTACCCTAAGGTACTTAATTGCAATACGAAACACGATCGATTCACAGCGTGTCATTAGAATAGTGAAATAAGAAATACATTCGATACTTGCACATATTATTCGAGAAAAACGACATTCACGTTGACCAGTAGTATCGATTAATATTTTCGAGTTCGTTTCAACATTCCATCGATAGTGGTTCAAAGTTTATTTAAAATAAAATAAAATCGATTCGTTACTTTACCTGCCACGCAACTGCATGCAACACAATGCTGCGATATGATGTCCATGCTGTTGTCAAAGTATTGTTTTTCGGCCGGAGTTCCTGCATTAATAAGTCCTAGAAAAAAAAAGTCGTTTATTGTCTCGAGTGCAATGGTTCACAAGTACAAGTGTCAGAAACGATTTCATCATGTAGTTTTACAGATTCCTCGTGGAAATGTTTTGGCGCATACAAAATTCCATTCAGTTTAGAGAAATTCAATCTCTCAATGACACATTAGTGTTCTTTTGAAAATAATTGTACGAAGGAAACAGTATTAAAATGTCCACGTTAAAATTGAGTATGCAAGATAAAAAGGATTTGGATAAGTTCACCAAATTCTTAGCATTGAAAGCAACTCAAATTATAGTGCAGTCGAGGTTAGGTGAAAAGGTCAGCACAAAGTGCAAACCAAATTCATCTGGAACAGACTGGGTAAGCTTTGGTTTATCAATGTTTTAAACATATATGTTATTGGTAACCGATGAAGTTGTTACTAAACTTTCCAAAAGATCTGGTCGATCAGTATCTTCTTCACTTTATTAATTGTAATTGTAAATGTCACATGTTGACTTTGATCTGTCTCAAAATGGAAAATAAAGTATTAGCAGCAAAGTAATTTTTGCGTTACTTAAACGTAAAGTTTTGATTTTTGTTCATATAAGACGAAACTGTTTCTTAAAAAGCTTCTTATAAATTATTATAATATTTATTCTAACATCCATAATTGATATTTATACAAAGTATGATGGTTTAATCAACATGTTTACAGTTTTCTACATATGTAACCTTTCGTTGTATAGTTCAACTTAGCTATTCACGATGTACCAGAAGTTTTAGCTGAAGCTAAGAGGGCATTATGTGGGGAAATAATAAATTCAACTATACCTCTTTGCATCGAAATCTTTTTGAGAACCGTTGAAGGTGACACAATGGTTTTAGAAACTTGGAGCCTTGGTATTTTGCCAGAACATAGTGATCCTACTATAAGAGTAACATATACTGTATACAACAGAATGAGTATTTTATTAAAATCATTGCTGTCTGTATCAAGAATTACTCCAGCTTACAAATTGAGCAGAAGACAAGGTCCAGATTCCTATGTTATTTGTTATAGAATTTATATGGGAGAACCACAGCTACATACATTAGGTATACAATTATTTTATTTTGGATTGAATATTTATTACAGGTATCTCTCAAGTCGAGACTCAGAATTAGTCTCTGAAATATTCTGAAATATATACAAACTATTGTGAAATACCTATTATCTGTTTTATGTAAAAAAATTCATCTATAATTACCTATATATTTTCTTTTTAAATAAAATTGCTCCAAAACCGCGTAACCCAAGTACCGCGTAATTCGAGGGATACCTGTAAATGTATGTTTCTTTTGGAACATTTCAGTTTCAGAATTTTAAACACAACTTAAAATGAATTGCTCTTTACAGGTGACAATTATAAACATGTCAGAGTGGGTCAATTGTACACACCTGTGGGTACAATCCACTTATCTGTATCCTATAGGACAAAAATGACTATATCTCCTACTCATACTGGTCGTGATTCAATTATGTTAAAGAGCGATCATTTTCATTCTGACTTAAGTCCCCGTAATGCAAGATACCAACAGAAGTATGTTATACTTAATACGATTTTAGTTTTTCATTTCGACTTTAAAGCGGACATGTATTAAACGATTTTTTGTATTTACATTTTAGCGAAGAGACATCAAAATCCCTCAGTGATACTATAAAAGTTGGAGCGTTTGTAGTTAATAAGCCAGTTACTGTTAATGAAGAAGACTTTGTTATACCAGATGTACCTTTCAGTTCTTTATTAACTCCCAGACAAACTTCACCTCTTCCGGTCTCGGTAGCCGAGACTACAAACACAAAGACTGCAACAGTAACTACTGCAATGGATAGCAGCAATGGAAATAACGAAAGACTTACAAACGATAACACAACGTCAAAGTGCAACTCTCAGAACGGATCTAGAAGGAGCAGCTGCTCAATGACCAGTGCCAACGACGATTTTATTATGGTAGATTTGGTAATTAACGTTCCTACGTTTATCGTTTGCTTCTGTCATAGCGTTTAAACTTGAAAATATCATAATTTCAGAAAACACCTTTTGCCGTGACTAATACTAATAGCGATCTGGGAGCATTTTATCGTGAATGTCAAAGTGCTCCACAACTTCAAGCTTTCGTAAAAGAAGAAACACTTGGAGAACAAATAGAAGATCTAACCAAACAGTTAGAAACGTTCGAAACAAAGGGACGTTGGTATGAAGATATTTTGTCATCATTATGTCATACAGAAAATAATAACTGATATTAAAATCCAGCGATACTTCGAGAAAGAGTGTAATTATACACGAATTACATATAGTATCTGTTATAGATTTATGCGACTTTCAATACACAATATTACAACATTTCAACAAGAGCATTTCAATGAAATTTTCCGTCAAATGCTTCTAACGCATGCAACCGCTTATAGACAAATTAAATTTATACAATTAAATCAAGATTTATCTATAAAATAGAAAAATAAACAATCTCCAATGATATGTACGTGCATTTGGCTTTATATGTCGATGTACTAGTAATCGTGTTTACTTGTTACGAACTATCGATTCAATAATCGATAATCGATCATTTCTCGTTTAAAACTGCTTTAAATTATTTATTTGTCTACTATTACCGTGTAACTTCTACTCGTATAAGCTATATACTAAAATCTGATGTAAGTCTAAAGTATGCTGTTTGTTGAAATAATTTATTAATATAATGTTAATGAGCAACGTCAACGATGGTTAGTTAATATATGTTAAAACTTTAATTAATTTATTGCTTGTACATAGTGTAAATTGTGCTTTAGCGTTGTAACATTAATTGATGAGTATAAAAGAAATATATAACTTTCTTGAGTTTTATTAACCGAATCATGAAATAAATGAATCCATGCTGACAATTTAAATAAAATTTTCGCGTGAAATGTTATGTGCAGGTTTTAATTCCGTCTTTCTTATCAACCACGTTAACTAGCACAAAATAAAATAAGAATATTCAAATAATTTTCTGTCACTACATTTTTAATAAATTTTTGTGAGTATTGTCACGAAATATAATTTTAATAATTCGAACGACATTGTTTTTATTTTAAATTGGATTTAATAATAATGATCCCAGTAAATCAATTTTCTAATTGTTGAAATGCACGTTATTATTAAGGAGCTATTTAAAATATTTTATAATTATTTAATGTATTGCGTTATATCACCTTTTCTAAACGTTCAGCCTTTCTTTAATATATTCCTTTATCTTAATTATAATAAAGTATGATTATGAACGTCAAAGAAGAAAAAATGTACAATTTATTAGTCTATACATTTACTTTATTTATTGTATTTTGTAAGCAAAAGAATAATTTAAAGTAATGGGACGAAAAACCGATGGTGTTATCTTTCGGGTTGTGGTGAATTATAAATGAAAGATGGCGGACTCAGCGGGCAATTGGTGTCTCATTGAAAGTGATCCTGGCGTTTTTACGGAATTAATCAAAGAATTTGGTAAATTTTCACCCGTTTTATATAAAATTATTGTATGCCTTTTCTATTGTCACAAAAATAATCTGTGTAAACTTACGTTTAAAAATAATTGCTTTTGATGACAACTGCTTTTTGCATTTACATTTTGAAACATTTCACTTTTGAGCATATATCTTTAAAACAGTTAATACGTTTGTTTATAGGTGTTAAAGGAGCTCAAGTGGAAGAATTATGGAGTTTGGATGATGACCAGTTCGATAATTTGAAGTGAGTATTAAATTTAGGTAACATAACCTATTTATTGGCGAAGTAGTTTACACTGAATATTTGATAAACGTACGAAGTACTTGATTTGTATCGAACTTTCAGTGTAAATAAGGTCGTATCAAATTAGTATGATATATTTGTAAAAAGCGTACCGAATGAAAATAATACATGTGTTAAATGCTTTTGCAACACTGTAAACAATCGTGTACTATACAAACAATCGAATTAAGGTTAGAATTGTACACTCATTCCTAATGACAGTAATCTACTTATAACTATATGATTTACTAAATTGAGTAAAATATACATATAAAATTATGTCATGTAAAAAAGGACAAAATTAAAAAACAAAGGACATACTCATTTGTTTATGACATCGAATCGATAAACAAATATTTGTAATAATTGACACGAAAAAGACTTGTTGCTATTATTTTTTTTAATAATTTAGATTATTCACTCCTACTATAACACGGTAGATAGGTTCCTAGAAAATGCCATGTTGTGTGAAACCGTGTTATATGAGACCCAGAACCAGTATAAAAAGGGGAGTTACGTTCCGAAAACTTATTAAAAACAAATATTTTTTTTAATTCTACAGAAGCATATTATTTTAATTTAACGTAACCTTAATTTAATAAATTATAATTTGCTTATACAGGGTGTTCGGCCACCCCTGGGAAAGATTTTATTGGGAGATTCTAGAGGCCAAAATAAGACGAAAATCAAGAATATCAATTTCTTGATTGAGGCTTCGTTAAAATTAAATTAAAATTTTTCAAATCGTTCTAAAAAAATTATTTTCGGTTGCAAAGCTCAATTACAATCATTTTTGGTCATTACACATACCCCCGAAATCCTTCGAAATTTCGAGAAAAAAATTCCTGACCGAAAATCTAATTTGAGGCCAAAAATGCACCCCCGAAATTTCATGCGAATCTTTAAAATGTCACAACTTCTGAACGGATAGGGGGATTTTAAATGTTTCAAAGGGCAAACAACGCGTATTTTGGCGAAGAATATGTAGAAATTCTAAAAATATTCGAAAAGTTGTTTCTTGACCCTGCAAAATGGGAAAAACTCCATAAAAATGGTCCAATTTTAAAACGGCCATAACCCCTACAGTAGTGAACGTATCTCATTGAAACGTTTTTCTTAAGTAGAGCTCATGGGTATCTACAAAAACGTATTAGACAACTTTTCTGTACGGCGTCAAACAAACTTATTAAAAATGAAAAACAAATTTGTAAGAAAAATCGACAGGGCGTATGAGTCTAAATTTTTCGGCGAAATTGAAAAGATTCAAATCGTTCTGGAAAAATTATTTTCGATTGCGGGGGTCAATTACAATCATTTTTGGTGAATAGACATACCTCCGAAATCCTGCGCATTTTCGAGAAAAAAATTCGAGAAGGTCGGAACTTTAAACGTTAATAACTTTTTAACGAAGCCTCAATCAACAAATTGGTATTCTTGACTTTCGTCCCATTTTGGCCTCTAGAATCGCCCATTACAATTTTTCCCAGGGGTGGCCGAACACCCTGTATATTTTCATGTAAAGCCACTATAGTTCATTATTTCTTCGCGTCATTATTTTAAAGTAATTTAGTTTTTAAATATGTTAAGCAAAAATGATGTTATCCAGTGCTGTAGAAGTACAGTGTTGTACAAAGGTTTTCGTAATTTTCTTATAAACTTACTTACGTAAGTACTTTGCAGGGTAGCGGTAATTGTATCAGCGTGTGCTTTCCTGAAAAATTGAATAAAATTGTCTGTAATTTTTGAAAAATTCATTATCAAAATTTGTAATGTTATTTACAATAGCTTTCCTAATATTATAATGTTTATTACGAACATAAAATACTGTAGGGAGCTGGTAAGTTTGCGAGGCACAGGAATGCGGAGCTCGATTGTTTACGGTCTAAGGTCTCCGTTCGTTTACTACACGTATTTGCGGCTTATCACCGAGACCCTAAATGAGACGGATGAACAGTGGTGGGGACAGATAGAGCGAATGGAAAACCTCTATTCCCCTTCTTTCGTCCCGCTTGTAAACTTACCAGCTCTTTGCAGTTTATGAATTTGTAATAATATAAACTTAGTAACTAAAGATTGATAAACGAATAATAGAATTCTTGATTAGTTCATTGTGATTTTTCTGTTAGGCCCATACATGGTTTAATATTTCTATTCAAATGGGTTCAGGATGATGAACCATCTGGAAATGTTGTTCAAGATAATAGATTGGATAAAATATTTTTTGCAAAACAGGTAAGCATTGTGATGATAGGTTTTTAACCATTTATAATATCATCAATTCGATATTTGTAAAATAACTAAAATTTAACCAAGTATTTCTGCCTGCTCAGGTGATTAATAATGCATGCGCAACACAAGCAATATTAAGTGTATTATTAAATTGTAAGCATTCCGATATATCGTTGGGGCCGAATTTGGAGGAATTTAAAAATTTTTGCCAAAGCTTTGATGCCAATATGAGAGGGCTTGCTCTTAGCAATTCCGATGTAATAAGAGAAGTACATAATTCTTTTTCAAGGTATTTTCATGCAGTAACCATGTATATAAAATATGAAACAAGGATTATTTTTATTTTACTACAAATAACAAATGTTTTTACAGGCAAACACTATTTGAATATGACTCGAAAAAAGCATCTAAAGATGATGATGTTTTTCATTTTGTAAGTTATATACCGATTGATGGTCGATTATATGAGCTAGATGGATTGAAAGATGGACCAATGGATCTAGGTCCATGTCCACTTGGAGAACAATGGGTTCAAGCAGCAAAACCCATAATTCAAAAAAGAATAAATAAGTAAGTAATTTAAACATTTAAAATTTCCTTTCGCTCATTTCGTATGTTGATCACAAATTATTTATAGATATAATGAGGGAGAAATACATTTTAATTTAATGGCAATCGTAACGGATAGAAAAACGCTATACGAACGACAAAAAGCTAATGTTTGTGATCCGGCCGAGTTGGAGCGTTTACAGACATTAATAGAAAAAGAAATACGAAAATCCAAGAGATATCAGATCGAAAATATCAGAAGAAAACATAACTATCTGCCATTGATAATGGAATTGCTTAAGATGCTTGCCAAAGAAGGTAAGCTTGTACCTTTGTATCAAAGAGCAAAGGAAAAGGCATTGGAAAAACAATCTAAGAAGAACACAGTTTAAACTTGAATCTTGTAATTGGATGAAAATATCGGTGCATTGTATGTATAATGTATAGACATCGATAAATAAATTGTACTGTTCTCTTTTTAAAAATAAATGTAAATATAAAAAAAAAATTTTTTTTATAATGTCAACAAATGTATTATTCTAAAATAACGATGTCATATTGGAAGATTCTGGATTTTAATAAATGATGTAATAAGATATTCTTTATTTTTAACAAACTTTTTCATTAACATCTCTTATTATGTATCATTATTGTCGTCTGCATTTTGATCTATAATTTCTACCGTCCCGTCATTATACGATAGTCTAGGAAGAAATTTATCGGTCAATTCATTTCTTATGTCAGATATTTTATGGTTATACAAGTATTCCACAATACCTGAAAGTAAAAAGTATGATTATTTTCTAAAAAAAAAAAATTTCATATTGTATTAACTATAATTGTTGCTACTGCTCCTAAACTTACAAAGAAAGTCTTGCTTGCCTATTTTCATAGTAGCTTCTTTTACAAGATAAAAAAATACTTTACACAAAAAGACAGTAGTTACACCCTCGAAATATTTGGCAACATTCGGCCATATTATTTCCCGAGTATGTGCGATTCCTTTTCCATAAATGCTGTAACAGGATCTTATTATGTAGAACAAAAGTATTATATTTTATACAGGATGATTCTCTCATCAGTAAACAAAAGCAATGCCACTGCGGCGATAATTCCGACGTTAAGTTTATAGTCGTCTGGTTTATTCTGTTTCTTACAATTAGAATGGTCTCCATTGCAGTAGTTGTCATCATCGATCGATCGATCGATATCAACCTTTTCATAAAGTTACGATTGCAAACACATACGGGATTATCGCTATGGTGTTTAGGCGATGGCATTCCTTTCGAGTAGAATGACGAGAGTTACATATTTTTATAATAACTTACTATTCAATTAATTTTATTTTCATATCATTCAAATAAATCGGTTCGAGACAAAACAATTGCATATGCAATTGATGCATCCAAAGCACTTTCAGTACATTATGGTCTATGTTTAATTTCTCTTCTAGCTTTAACCAAATTGGTTTTGGCAAAGTAGCATCTTTTAAATCTTCTAGTTTTTCAGACAATGTTACATTCATAATAGCTTTTATGAATGTACCAATTAAAGGTAAAGTCCATTTAACTTGTGATAATGCTACAATGAAATTCGATGTGTTTTCAAGATTAGAACGACGTAAAATATTAAACGCGAATTTAAGAACTCACGTTTCCCTGTATGGCTTTCTTGCATTTTTTTAAGAAGCTGGTAACGTAACCAAACTGAATGACTTGTACGCCCTAACGATTTGGCTAGATCACAAAATTTATTCTTTCGATATTTTCTCTTTGTTCGTTTATTTTTCATGAATAATAATATTTGTTCGTCTTCATTTACTGTGTATCTACCAACATGTATAATTGCAATATACTTATGTAACTGAAATTGAAGTTATAGCAGTACATGAATATTTAATACTATACCTTTTGAAAGTCTTTTCATATTTATCATATATATTTTTAAATCTGTTATACACACTATACAGTGTCCTCCATGGTAATCCATTTGCTATGAATTGAACAAACTTTTGCCTGTCTTTTATATTTCTGATACAATATCGTTTATTTTTTCTCATACAAAGAAATGGTTCTGTATATTTAGGGTCCCAATTATGAATCTGCATGTACAAATAATTTTATGAATTAAAGGAATCATATTATAATGCTTGTCAGACATACTTCACAGAATTTTATCCAATTATTCTTGATAGTTTTATCTTCAGCAGGTGAAAATATGCCATTTTTTATTGGTCCATAACTTGAAAATAATTGCCTCTCTGTTCTTGACAACGCTCTCGAGCCTGCTGTAGTTTCAATCTTATGTTGCGGTGGTATATTGTGTATCAATTGTACTTTTAATTCATACAACCTCTAAAATAACAAAAAATCCCATGAAACAATATCTAAAATTAAAAATATGGAATAATTAGAAAATATTTTGAACTGAATATTCACTTTCTTAGCATCTTCAAGCTTTTGCTCATTTTCTGAGTCTGATTGAATATTTAATTCTCCAAGCACCATTTTCAATGTATCATAAATTTCATCGTTAACTTTTCTATTTTCATCTTCATCTTTATCTTCGTTTTCAGTTTCATCACTGTATTCTGTCGTTACATCTTCCCCTGAATGATGTATAGCCATTGTTGTTTTCTTTGTATATTTATTATCAATATCTTCATTGTTTGTATTATAGAGATCACAATTGGCAATAAAAAGAGGATCCACTTGCGGATCTCTGGACATTTCCATATTGTGTTCATTCTGTTCATCATTGGCCGTCGAAGATAAAAATTCCGAGGATATTTTAGTTTCTTCAAAGTCTATCACAGAAGTCAAGTCATGCAGCATATCAATGGGTTCCATATCAGTTAAATTTACATCATATAATTCTGATTTAAGCATATCAGATATTTGATCGCAATCACTGATGTCGCTAAGTTTTCTTTTTTTTCGTTTAGAAGGGGTATTATATTCATTGACATAATAATTTTCTTTTTCACACAACGTTGGTGTTTCTTGTAACATTTTAATATATCTAGGATAACATTCCATTGTATTTATATTTGAAGAACTAGGACTAAATATGTCAGGACTATTTACATTCTCTGTTTTAATGTTTTGTATATCTATGAATTCGTTTAATTCTGTTTTTTTTGTGGGAGTACATTGTAAATCCTCTAGTTTACAAATACTAATTCTTGAACTTTGGTTATCATTTCCAATAATATTATTATTATTATACATTCCTATTATATTTGAATTTTCCACATTATTTTGTGATGTATCCGCAGTCTCAATTTTAATATTTTCATTGCTACTGTGTTTTGTAATAGGTGAATTTTTTAAGACAACATTTTGCATCAATGTATCTTTATTTTCTTTACTCGTGCACTCTATACTATTCTGTGTTTCTTGAATCGTTTGAACATTATTTTCCAAATCATTATTCATTGTATCGCTTCTTTGTATTTTTCTTTTCTTTAGAGGTTGTAAACTTTTTGTATTTGGACTTAACACATTAGCAGTCATTTTTTAAATACTACTGAAAGAAACAAAGTTTTGATTACCTTATCAGAAATATAATCTTATTTGGTATATTTTAAAGAAATTATTTTTAAATTTATCGAATATTAAGTACTAGATATAAAATTATAAATTAAAGGTAGAAATGATAGAACAACGGGTTTTTATTTAAGATGCTACTATAATATTTAACTGCTAATATAATGTCTTTTTTCTTGAATTATTAGTAACAGACAAATCCCAATTTGTCTAATTTTGACATATAACTCCTGTGGAAATTTACAACTATTTACGACTGCATTAAACTTTTAAACACATAACAATTGAATTACTTGCGTTAAATACAGTTACTTAAGATTGTTTTTTATGAATAAAAAGGATGCTCATCGAATGCTATTCTTATTTCGAATCATATAATAAACAATGTTCAGATATTTCGTTGTTATTATCATTCTGTCAATATATTTGCCGCAACAACGAATTCAGACGAGGTTATGTTTGTTGATAGAGACATAATAAGAAAGATTTGAATTGTTCGTATGTTCTGATGTAATCAGCTAACAAATGACGTTTAAATATTTCGAACGTAACATTACTTTTATTATTTACTTGTCGATATACTTGTTACAGTGATCACATTGATCACAACAATCGTCCATAACATGCTGAAACTAACCTGTTAATTTGTATACTGATACAATTCAACTACTACTTGTTGAATTTGGACACAATTGATGAAGTAGTTGCTCAGAACAAATCTTATTAATTAATCTTGAAGAACGTCTCGAATAGAGTTGAATAGTCGAACAGACTATTTTGTATAGAATAACTTTCGCTTTCGAAGAACGAAAACAGGTTCGTCAACTTGAATGTTGGGTAGAAAAGAATTTTTATTTTGTACTGAGATTTGCCCACCCATAAACTACCCACAAGGAAAGTGAATAGGATATACTTTTAGTAAGCAAGATACAGAAACACGACCGACCATCGCATCATGCACGTGCATTCGGTAGTCGTTGCTTCAAGGCGACATCGTGCGTGCACCGGTATGTAAACACAACATAAAATAAAACTTTCTAGTTCTCATTATATCTTTATAAGAGCAAACTTGGCCTTTTACTTTAAAATAACGAATATAGATGGGGGAAATTTTATTTCTTGAATCCGGGTGTAAAAATTGTCACTTGCAGCGTGGAGAATGCATTGTTTGTGTAACTGTATATTCGGTACAATTTGACGAAAGAGTTTTCTTTCTGCATCTGTGTCTGTCTGTTATGTAAGAGGAATGGATGCGTGGTGCCATCTAGGAAGCTTATAAAAGCGTTGGAACAAAAAAAGGGGAAAACCCCGTTTTTGAAGTTGAGTGTGAGAACGCATGGCAGAGAGTAAAAGTGTTAAAATTGAAAGTATACTGTATCTGTATAAAATAGCCTATAATATTAGAACTAAATACAATATAAAGTTCAATTATAAATCTGGTCTTGTTATTGGCCAAAGAAACAACAGGAACGTAAAAGTACTATTTAGTTTTAGTGATAATTTTTACGTATACCACGATATATCAGCCTTTAAAGACGCGGGAGGAAATATTGAAATAGTAATTTTATAATAAACTTACATTTTTCGTAGGTTTTAAACGATGGACCTGAAATGTGAAAAAAATGTTGTATAGGCGTAATGAATGTATGACACTAAAATATATGTATAATACGTATAAGACAATGTGAAATTATTTTATTATTAAGATAATCAATAATAAAATAAACTATATAAATTTTATTATTACGAGTACAATATTTATTTTACTGAAATTTATGTATAAAAAGGTATTTTACATAGTGTATTATAATACATTATTCGTTGATAAAATATAATTAATATTTAATTGTTTGATTCTGATATTCTTATACATATTTTGGTCTTATTTAATTATTGCTAATATTTAGCAAAATAAATATTTATAGACTGCTTATTGGTTTTGAAATTGAAAAGTTTCAATGCAGAATGTTTAAAAATTGTATTTAACTACTATTATCCAACATTTGTTTAATCTTTATATGTGTATATTTATAGGAAGAAAAATGAATAATTTCATCTGTAAGAAAAAGAATTTGTAAAAATTTATAAACGTCACGTAAAGTATTTTAAACACGTTGGCAGTCAGCATACTGCATAAAGTAATACAACTTTTAAATATCCACATCAAAATTTAATAAAATAATACAGGATTCATACTATAATAATGATGTGTGTATATGCCTATTGTTTTTCTCGTCGGTGTTGAAAGTTTGATGAAAATGTTTCGATCTGAAACTTCGCATTTAATATTCAAATAGTAGTATTTGAATTATTTTTTGATAAAAATGGTTCTCGCATCTCCCGCGGATCTCGTTTGAAGCTGCTATCGTGGTTAGTCGGCGTAAGTCGTCGTTGTAGCGTAGACAACTCCCTGAAAATCACAAAAATCGGAGGTTAAGGAACAACTGTTCCAACATTCTTAGAATGTCTAAATATTCTCCACCAAAATACGTGTTATTTGCATTTGGAAACATTAAAATCTTTCAATCCGTCCAGAATTTATGATTTTTTATATACAATGTATACGCATGAAAATTCGGGGAAACATTTCTGTCCATGCATTATATTTTCGCTAAAGAATTTTTTTCTCGAAAGTGCGTAGGATTTCAGGGGTATGTGTATTCACCAAAAATGATTGTATTTGGCCTCCGCAACCAAAAATAATTTTTTCAGAATGATTTGTAATTTTTTAATTTCGACACGTGGTGTTTATGCACACAGTATAGTTGTCTGCCCATTAATACTAATTCAGTGAATAGTTTCTCAAGTGACTGCCATTCATGAGAAAAGGACGCTAAAATCACCTTTGAATTTTCAGGTCGGTATGGCAGTCAGATTGGGCCACCATAGACGACGTATACGAGTAGATCTTTCACCTTATGCACTTTCGTGGCCCAATCTGACTGCCATACCGACCTGAAAATTCGGAGATGATTTTAGCGCCCCCTTCTCATGGATGACGGTCAGTTGAGAAACTATTTACTGAATTAGTATTGATGAGTAAAACACATGTGAGTTGACTATGGAAGGGATAAAGAAACGTAATTTTCAAACAACTATAACTCCTACAATAATGTATACATCTCAATGAAATTTATTTCTGATGTAGAGCTCATGGATACCCACAAAAAAGTGTTAGACAACATTTCCGTAGGTCGTCAAACAAATTTATTAAAAATCAAAAACGAATTTATAAGGAAAACCGACAGATGGCAGATGCAGAAATTTTTCAACGAAATTAAAAAGTTTGAAATCGTTCTTAAAAAATTATTCTTAGTTGCGGGGGTCAATTACAATCATTTTTGGTGAATACACATACCCTCGAAATCTTATGGATTTTCGAGAAAAAAATTCCTTACCGAAAATATACTGTGTTGCGAGGAATGTTTCTGTAATTTCATTTTCTGTCTTACTACCTCCCGTGTTCATTTGTGTAACTTGTTGGTAATTACATTGGATGTGAGGTCTACTCGCAGATTTCGTCTGTGGGGCCACGAAAGCCCATAAGGTGCAAGCACAGACGAGGTATACCTGGCTGCAGCTGCCATCTGCTGCATTTAATGCACGTTACCGATACAGATTAGAATAAGATTTTTGCGCTCCTAATATTTCGAATTAAATTAAATTTCGAGAGAAATAATAATCATTTCCGGAAGAATCGAAATCAAATCACTATCATAATTTTTATCTTTTAACCTTCATTCTCTTTGCTTTACTCCTCGTTTCCTTATATTTTAGATAAAAATATAACACAAACAATATTTGTGAGATGTATATTTATATTAATAAAAGATCAAAGTTATAGTATTTTAAGTACTTTTAAATATTATTCGTGCCTAATTAATTTGTTAACAAGTACGAAGAATCCATTTACCTATGATAAGAATTCCGACGCTTTTTCCGCGGCCATAGGTGAAACGCACCGTATATCAAAGGATTTACTAAACTGTTGCTCATGCCAAAGAAGAAGATTCCGTTTTGTAATTCATCGCTAACCTGAAAATATCACGGGCTTGTTAGATAGTAACGTATTGTAAATTGACGTGTATACACTATGGCGGACCTTGGTGACAAATCTCTACCAAAATCGTGGCCCCGGTTTATTTTACGTACGATTTGTCTGTTCTTCCGAATAAGAATATCGAAAAAGAAATAAATAACCCTCTACTTGCCGTATTAAACAGCGTAACTTTGATCGCAGAGCAAAAATACGTACGCGTTTATCAGGATGAAGAAACATTAAGATTATCATCATCGCGTAATATGGCGTCCACCAAAGTATAAAGGCGGCTACGATGACGACACTAATCCTCAACGATTTCATTTTTGCTCGATGCATCAACTTCCTTCTGTTTAGGTCCCCGTTCATTCTGCACACGTTCTTATTACTCAATTCTAGTTTGAACATTCTCTCGCTCCCTGAAAAAATTTGGTTTCCGATACAAGAAATATTAGAAATATTATTAAGAAACATTTGTTGCAGAATGATCTGAGCACACAGAAATCCTCAAAATATGCTTACGAGAGATCGTAATTATCGTAGAAACGTAAGTGGTGATAAGGATGACTAAAGGTAACAGGAACATGAAAATCAAACTGAGAGACACGTAAAGTTGCTCCTGCCATGGTTCTGTGTAAAATCCATGTGTTACGCATTGATCAAATTCTTCAAGGAATGGACCTTTTGCCACGTGGAATATGATGACCTGCAAATCGAAACAGACGTTTATTTTTATATCAGTACATTTTAATATGAATCCTCGATGTTAAGGCCAAAGATCCTGAAGAGATTACTGTGATTGTATAAAATATAGATTCCACATTAAAGCTACATATTTTAATATTTAAGATCATTTTCGACGAAAGAAACAACTAAACTTTTTTAATTCAGCCTTACAATCCGCTAGAGTCGTTAATAATCGCTGTTAGGGTTCACCGATTAAATAATTTGTTCTAGTTTCTGGAATTCATTACGTGTTTTATGTATGCTCCGCGGCACTTGTTCGTTGATTTGTTTACGTCTCAGACACGAGTTGACAGTCACATATGAATTGGAGATTCTAGTTTTTTTCCAACGAACTGTAATCGTTTTTTACAGCGAAATGTTTCGTAATTCGATGTGACTGAAGAAGAAACGAGTCCTAGAATTCTATGAAACTCAACTTTTGTATCGCGGTATCAAACACATGGAAAACAATGGATTCATTAGAAGAGCATCGTTATCAAGATTAATGGCGGCAATTAACAATTACATGTTCCATGTCGGTGAAGTTTTTTATGAGAACGATCCGATTCAATCAGTACCTCTGGCTATCGATGTGCAACTTCCCGATCGTTATGCTATTCAACTGAAAACCAGACTGCCATAAATCATGCTACATTTGTAGTTATTTTATTCAACCTTCCACCTAATAATTCTCAACAGTGAGCATATATGGCTGTACAAAGAACCACGAGTGAAAGTCTAATGCTTAAACAGCGCCATTTTGTTGACGCTGCATACTTAAAAGCTTCGTTATTTCGTAATTAATCACTCTACATTTGTAGTTATTTTATTCAACCTTCCATCTAATAATTCTCAACAGTGAGCATATATGGCTGTACAAAGAACCACGAGTGAAAGTCTAATGCTTAAACAGCGCCATTTTGTTGACGCTGCAAACTTAAAAGCTTCGTTATTTCGTAATTAATCACTCTACATTTGTAGTTATTTTATTCAACCTTCCACCTAATAATTCTCAATAGTGAGCATATATGGCTGTACAAAGAACCACGAGTGAAAGTCTAGTGCTTGCACAGCGCCATTTTGTTGACGCTGCATACTTAAAAGTTTCGTTGTTTCGTTAAATTCGTTGATTTCATTAAATTTTAAGATCATTTAAATCAATTAAACGTTTCTTGAGCGTTCCAGCGTGCTCGAAAAATGATTTACTTGCTGACAAACGTTTCGAGAAGTCAGTATCGAGATAGCCCGTCGTGTGTCATCGTTCATTTGTAAATATCGACGTCCGTTCGTCGATTGTTCGTCAGAAATGTGACGCAAGGAATTTTTGGCTCATCGTTTCAATAGAAAATTCGCCGTATTTCCCCTTTGAACGATTAAAAATTATCGAAAGTATGGATTGAACATTAAGAGTCTCCATGAATAAGATTCTTACAAGTATCGGGCTCGCAGACTATCTGTGCGCCATTTTATTATCTTCTTGGTCAAGGTACGCATTCTTCGGTCTTACAATATTATTTTTCACCTCTAACTTCGTAATAATATCTCTTAAATAATTTTCAAACATTGACGCGAGATAATTATTGCATTATTCACCCGAGAACTGATTAAAATATAACAAAATTTTGTCTCGCGTTATTGGATACCATTTAAAATTCTTTACTGGTCTTATACTCATCTTTTATTGCCCGATGATTGCTCGTATATACTTTACGTATGCAAATGAATCAAATCATGTCTAAATCAATTGACGTCCGTATACAGTGACGCTTCGAATGCTTAATCGTCGCATTGCATTATAATCGGTGCGAAAAAGTATGTCGCACCGATGCCATTACTGGATCCAAGCATATTGTTGACTCGATGCATCGATATTAGCGTTTGAAACGTAAGAATTATGTGTCATCCAGTGAAACAAACTCGCTTTTGAAGCAAGAATTCTATATTCAAAGAGTTATCCTTCACGCTATATTTACCGACATTCATTGCACATATTTTTATTCCAATCCGTTGTGTCGATATTCGCATTGAAATGCAGTTTTTATTTCTTAACAAATAATATTTATGAGTTCTGTAACGTTAAAAGCGTTAATTTAAAAAACTAATGCTTCTACAGTTGTGAGACGCTACAATCATGGTGAACGAATCGGCGAAGGCTCTCACGATGGTGATCTCCGCGATCAGGAATCTTCGCGAGGCGAAGGGCTCCTCGTCCCGTGAGATTTTGCATTATCTATCGTCGATGTACAACATTCCGCCTCAAGTGGCGCGTCGTCAGGTGTGTTCCGTCGAACCGTTTCGCGATTCGTTCCAAAACGTAACCGTTTCTCGAAAAAACAGATGCTGACGGCCCTGAAACGCGGCGTGTCGTACGGCATTTTGAAGAAAACCGGCGTCAACTACGTTCTACCGACCAGCAGCGAGATGAAGTGCCAGGAGATCGCCGCGCAGGAAGTGAATCTGCTGGATTTCTGCCGCAGGAGCCGCGGACAGCAGAAACTGGGTTGCAAGTGCAAGAAGAAGCAACAGAGGCGAACGAAACGTAGAAAAAAATGCAGGTGCAAGAGTGGTAGGAGAAGTTCGAAAAGGCGGAGGTCCAGGAGTCGAAGGAGCAAGAGACGGAGGAGCAGGGGTTGCAAGAGAAGTCGAAGGTCAAGCAGGAGGAGGAGCAGGAGTGGCAAGAGAAGACGAAGGTCCAGCAGGAGGAGGAGCAGGGGTTGCAAGAGAAGACGAAGGTCCAGTAGGAGGAGGATGAGCAGGGGTTGCAAGAGAAGACGAAGGCCCAGTAGGAGGAGGAGCAGGGGTTGCAAGAGAAGACGGTCCGGTAGAAGAAGGGAGCTTGGATTGGAAGAGAAGACGCAGGACTATGGCTTCCAGGACGCGCCGGAAGAGCAGTGGATGCAGAGGGATTCGAGGAAGAAGCCGCAGAGGAAGACAAAGGACGAGACAGTGCGGAGGCGACGGTCGAAATCCAACGAAAAGGGACGAAACCCTTCGCCAGGACGAACATCTAGTAGTCAAGACAGTTTTGAAGTCTAAAATCTCCACCATGGCAGATTAAACATGGCTGTCGATACGCTGGCGCCCTCTGGATCGTCTTTTTCTGGGAAGTTTGGGACGTGTGATTGTTCTCAGACAATCCCTGTTACTATAAACTTCACATCTTCAGGCAATACTGATCTACGAGAGGTAATTAATTTATTTAGCAACTGGAGCAATGGAGACACTTCACTATGGGTCAAAATTAATGTTTATCTTACACCGTAATTTCTTTATTAAGAATATTTAATTAGAGTCTGAATCCACATTGATACTAGATTTATTTATTAGAACTTCTTTGCTCAGTGAACATTTGTCTTTACAAATCGTTGTCCTACTTTTTTAAAGAGTAGTTTTTACAATTGAGAATAATGAATTAATATTTTTTCAGCCGTGCAAAAAGTATCACAGAATCGTTTCGAGAACCATTTGTCAAATCGTCAGTTGCGTCCACTTAGAAGATCAAGAAGAACAACCTCGAGAATCGACGTTTTTATAATAATTTACATTATTAATCTATTAATTTTGTATCCTTTTCACTTCAGAGTATTTTCTTTATTGTACATGTTTGGTTATCATATAGAGAATCACAGTTCTAATACCCGTGTCTTGTTTGCATATTAAATAAGAGAAATTTTGTAAGAGTATTTTTCGAGCAAAAATAGACAAATTACATTGTTTAACTTCGTTTTAGTTTCATTAACCACGATCCAATTTTCCGTGCTGACTGATATAATTATTGGAATTATATTTGTATCAACATGTAAATTTTAATCATTTTTATTTTTAAGCATTTTATTTCTTTGCTATGTTTTTATGCTTTTTTCAATTTTCTTTTAGCGTATGTAATTTTGAAAATTTACGAATAATTTATTTCTTAATCTTTCAACGATTATATTTCATTATATGTTCTCAAATTCATGAAACACGTGTGCAAAATCGATTTACAGACCTGGGGAGCAGTTAAATAACTTTTTGGTGGAGCGAGAAAATTTATGAAATTTGCATAAAGTTCGGTGCTGATTCCATTTAAATTTAAAATCGATGCAACGTTTTAAACACTTTTTCCTTTCATTTCTCCCAATATTATAGACATTGATACCCCGGTGAACGAAGCAATTTAATTCCATTTCCCTTTTATTTCATTTAAAATTTACATGAATATTTGAATTTCTCTCACCGGGAATAGAATTATTTTGCACCTCGATGAATTTTCGTTTCCTCTTTTTTTAACAAAAAAAAAAATGCGCAACACGTGATATTCTGTCATCGTTTTAGTCACCAATATTCAGTTGTCTTTTTTTTTCCATGTTTCACAACTAGTCTATCCGCTGTTCTCTGTACTCTGCGTTCGGCTATGACTAGTCCTACGTTTCGAAGTAAATGGATTCGAATCGGGGCAGGAAAAACGAGCGATTAAATAGCTAACAGACTGCTCGAGAAAATGGGATCCTAATTGACGTCGTCGAACGTGAGCCTCTTCTGTAATCCTCTTATATATTAATCAGAGATCCTGAATAACCGTGTTAATTACGGCCATTAATTAAGGAAACGAAAAACTGTCGTACTGGCAATGAATACGAGTTCTCGAGTCTTGCAAAAAAGGGACACATCGAGGATTGAATCGTCTACTTCTCGAGAAAGTACTCGATTCGTCAAATTACAACCCTTAATAATGACGATTTACTAAATTTTAACCGTTCATGGATGACTTTCAGTTATTACTGTTTCTGTTTATCTCACGAAACAATTAATAATAAACTCGTATTCGATAATAATTAGTTATATCCGGTTCATCGAGAATCGATTGCACAGAATGCTATTAAGAACGAATTTAATATTAATGTTTACAGGAACTCTTTGATTCGTGCCGTAATATTAAAATTAATAAATAATATTTATTTAATTATTAACTGTTTTCACTACCGCAAAGCCTATTGACTTTGAACCTTACATTACGGTTTATGATATACTTTTATGGTATATTTTTCGTCTTATCGTATGAAAAAATACTTTTATGTTAAAATTTTACTCTTTAGTATAATTGAATTAATCTTCAAATATTTATGTATATTTTATCTTCTGAAATATTTCTATCGAATGGGGTCTTAATTAAGCTCGATAAATAAGAGACTTCCTCGAAAGAACGAACAAATCTGAGAACTGGTTTCCCGGTCATTTTTTGCTACAGATCTCGGTATGATTGAATGACTAGATAAGTTTTCCACGCTTATCGATGCAACATAACTACCTGCTATTTACGAGACAGCTTGTTATATGGAAATTATTTGTAATTTCATAGAATATCGATTTGCTCGAGTGCACTTCTCGAAGCTACGTTTCCAACGGAGCTTAAGTGGCAGTCGAATGTCAGCCATTTTGAATTACTTTTTAATTGCAAAAGTGCCATTCAATAGGTTTCACGGATGTAACGATCCAACTTTTAATTTGGCTGGAGTAGACTCGAGGCAAAAAGTTTGACAAATTTCACAAACCAATTTTATTAGCATTAAACTCGTGCCGAGCACAGTGACTACCTTATTGGAGATTAGAAGCCAAAGGATAGATCGCGAAAGAATCCAAACCTGACGAAATCTTGTAGAAGCATTGACAGATTCTTAGTCCATGCTTTCAGATTCATTCGTTTCAAATGAACAGAATCAAGGACACGTAACTCCTATAATAATCATTACTTTTGTATGAAACAAATGATCTTGTACTCGTGAAACATTATCAAATATATGCAAAACATCCTAGAACGATACAATCTACTAATTCGAAGAAAACAATTCCTAAAGAAGGCAGAGAAAATGACTCTGTAGACCAACAGAAGGGAAACGTAGTCTTACGCCATTTTAAATATTTTAACGTTTGAAAATTGGCACTACTCAGCCATAATGCTTACATATAACACCAGATGTTATATATGTAGAAAGATGTTTTATTAAATATCAACTAAAGCCACCTCCACCAGCAAAGCAGCGCCACAATATTGTTAAACTTAAAATAAAGTCCTGAAAGTGTTAACTTTGGAATATAATCTTATCTGAGTAAACAATTGTTTGCAAACTTCACTAAAATACTCGAAAATACTTTGTGGAACCTGTCAGAATCTGTATTCGTCATAATTTCAATTTCACATACTTTGAAACCCTTTGAATATAGCCGATTTTTTACACCCTTCAGTTTCATAAGTTTAGAAACAATCGAACTGAAATTCGATTACTTTTTAATAGGCAGTGATGTGTACTACTTTTTAAGAAACATAAAATAGAGTCCTGAAAGAGTTAAGTTTAGGATCTAATCTTACATTCGATTACTTTTTAATAGGCAGTGATGTGAACTATTGTTTAAGAAACATAAAATTGAGTCCTGAAAGCGTTAAGTTTAGCATCTAATCTTACCTGAGGGATCGCCAGGACGAAGGACAGTATCCACGCGGGGATGACCAGTCTCAGACACCTGTGACCAGTGTTCAATCCTTTCATAGGATACCTAACGGCGATGAATCGATCAGCGCCGATCAGCACGAGTATGAACGTGCTCAGGTAGAGGCTGAACACCTGGAGGAACTTGAACAGCTTGCACATGGCGTTCCCCCACATCCATGTCACCGTGTAACTCCACATCGCTTCCCCGCCTATGCAGAACACGGTGACCAGCAGGTCGGCCACCGCCAGGTGCAGAATCAAAGCGTAGACCGTGGACCATCTGTGCTGCTTCCGGCGGTTCTTCGCGATCGAATAGATGGTGGCCACGTTCCCCACGAAGCTGAGGATCGCTAAGATGGTCAGGATGATGACCTTGAAGAAGATACCAGGCGTTAAACGTGGCGCGTGTTCCAGGCACGTGACGTTGCTCGTCGATTCGAAGCGAAGCAACCGGTCAGGATCGCTCAGGTTTTGCCATGGTCGAGCGTTGAACGCCAGGTCAAGGCCGCGGGAATGACCGACGAAGTCGGTCAGGTTGTCGCAGGCCATCAACGCGGTCATCTTCTGTGCACTTCCGGTTCGGTGTTCCCGCTCATCGTCCTCCTGGACGGTCCTCTTCGCTCAGCTAGTCGCTGTTCGGCATAATTAGTTTTTAAGTGCAAACACCCTCGTTCGATGATTGTTTCTTTGAGCAAGCGTTGTCTCAGATATGCTTAGGAAATTTAAAAATGGAGATTGAGAACACCAAAGAGCTGGTTCAGGTTCTAGATCAAGGAATCGTAGTACAAAAGTTTTTTTAAGGCACTTGGTTATACAGTGTGTTCAGACACACCTGGAGAAAATTTTAATGGGAGATTCTAGAGGCCAGAATAAGACGAAAATCAAGGATACTAATTTGTTGATTGAGGCTTCGTTAAAAAGTTATACAAATATTTCCGGCTACACAGTATATTTTCGGTGAAGAATTTTTTTCTCGAAAATACGTAGGAATTTGGGGGTATGAGTATTCGCCAAAAATGATTGTAACAGACCCCTGCAACCACAAATAATTTTTTTAGAACGATTTGGAATTTTTTAACTTTGTCGAAAAATTTATCAACCTTCCTGAATTTTTTTCTTGGAAGTGCGAAGGATTTTGGGGGCATGTGTATTCACCAAAAATGATTGTAATTGACTCCTGCAACCGAAAATAATTTTTCCAGAACGATTTGAAATTTTTTTTTTCATCGAAAAAGTTAGGCATCCCCTGTCGATTTTTCTTAAAAATTCGTTTTTCATTTTTAGTAATTTTGTGTGACGCCCTATAGAAAAGTTGTCTAATACTTTTTTGTAGGTACCCATGAGCTATATCAGAAATAAATTTCATTGAAATATATTTACTATTGTAAGAGTTATGGCAGTTTGAAAATTGGACTATTTTTATATGGTTTTGCTCATTTTACGGCGTCAAGGAATAACTTTTTCATTATTGTTAGAATTCCTACATATTCTTGACTAAAATACGCGTTATTTGCCTTTTTAAACATTAAAATCCTTCATTCTGTTTAGAATTTATGACATTTTAAAGATACGCATGAAATTTTTGAGTGACATTGCTGGCCAGAAATTATATTTTCGATAAGGAATTTTTTTCTCGAAAGTGCGTAGGAATTCGAGGGTATGTGTATTGACCAAAAATGATTGTAACTGGCTCCTGCAACCAAAAATAATTTTTTTAGAATAATTTGAAATTTTTTAATTTTGTCGACAAAGTCCACCTACTTCAATTTTTTTCTCGAAAGTGCATAGGAATTCGAGAGTATGTCTATTCACCAAAAATGATTATAATTGATCCCAGCAACCGAAAATAATTTTTTTAGAATGATTTGAAATTTTTTAATTTAATTTTTTAATAACTTTTTAACGAAGCCTCAACCAATAAATTGATATTCCTGATTTTCATCTTATTTTGGCCTCTAGAATCTCCCATTAAAGTTTTTCCCAGAGGTGGTCGAATACCCTGTATATTGTACTTTTTGAGAGCTTGATGGACTGTTACGCTAGGGGTTGTTTGTTCCATCAAACGCAAGATTTAAAAAATGTTTGAAATATTCGAGCGAACGGGGCACGGCTTTGAGAATTTTTTGGCTGAAAAATAGAGAGGGCATAGAAAGGGCGTTTATAATGTAAATAAAAGACTACGAGTAGAGTGCTTTCTATGCTTTCGATTGATCGATTGGAAGTTGTATCGTTGAATGTCGGTTCGGATTTAATTTTTCTTATGCGTGGAGTTTGGCTCTTTGACCCCTAATGGTATAATACGGCGCATGAAATTTTCATCACAATACTCTTGGGAATTTTTCACTTCGAAGTAGTATGAAATGCTATTATTTCAGTGTTGTGTAATTTTAACGGCCTTAAAACGAGTCGAAGAGTCATAGAAACAGGAAGAAAAGTAGCAGAGTAGGAAATTAACTTACGAACGATCACCATCATTTTCACAATAGATGAGAGTTCTCAAATCTACTATTAAACATATAAAAATATTTTGGTTATATCTGTTCCCACAATACCTGAATGTCTTTTTCTACTAAGAAATGTCTTTTATTGCCTTATGAAGTATATAGAGTTGCAATAAACTAGAATAATTTCACGAATTCCCAAGACTTCTAATTCTTCTATAACTTTGCAAACGTTATTGTAACGACCACAATTTGCAATTTAAGCACCAAAAATTGAAATGAAAATGGAAATCTCAACGCGTATCGGGGTTCAAAAGATTAAAGCGTAGTATTTATGCATAATTATCCACCAATTACGTATACCCAACAAGTCATCGAATTTTACATTTCAAATATGTTTTTGTTCTTCCAGCCGGCACTACTTTTTCATTTCAACAAGAAGTATCAGGGACATTTTTATTGTTTCCAACCTATTCGAGCACTGTCGAAAACGCAACAGGATAATAAATTAGACGCGGTGCTCTAACAACTCTCTATAAAAATGTAAAACATTGAAAACTGTATCGTCATATATTTTAATGACACGCTCGTTACGTGTTAAGCAGAATTCACTTCCGTTATAGATAACCGTTCGATAGAGTGATTCTCTTTAATCACAAGGTGTTACTCGACGTACTCATTTTTTGTTATCGCAGCCAGTTTCGTTTGTCTCGAACGAATAAATCATTAAGCGGAAGTTAGGTCAACCCCGGCATTGAACAACTTCCTTTCGCATTCTTGAAAGAGCGAATAAATAATTCTAAGTAGTTTCGCGTTCGCGTTTAAAACTGTGTTTCGTGCGCGCACTTCATATTATCCCAACTACAGCGCACGAGCTGTAAATAGTATTAACATCCTACAATTCACTCGTAAATCGTAGAAAAAGAACGAAACGTACAATTCAGATTTAACTTTTTGCGTATACAAAGTTTTATTAAGATTTTATGCGAAGCAACATTATGCACGGTCGTACATCAATTACGTATACCTAACGAGTCCGCTCTGTTTTGCATTTCAAATAATTTTTTGCACCATAGGACACCACTTTTTCATTTTAATACCAGCATTCGAACGGTCGTGACAGTTAATCACTGCGCAACTAGTTTTATCTATAGTGAAATAAAGTTTCAATGTCGGTAAAAAACGTTCGTATAAACGACAAGTGTACAAAGTAAATATACACGATGCTCGATAGTTCAAACTTTTATCGCTCGAATCTATTTACAACGTTTGCCATAATTGTGGCGCCAAAGCTCGTGTCATTGGTGCGTTAATACGTCGACGCGTCGACTGCATTGAATTTGGATTTTTAATTCGTGTTTTATGAATAATTTTCCCATTATTTGAAATAAAATCAATTTTTGTCAAGGAATTCGCTTCGAAGAAAAGCAAAAACATTGGATTAAATCACTATAAATTTTGATATTCGATCCATAGTATAATAATTGATTCGTGCTCAAAAATGAGTTTCTCGTGCTTACTATTTTCCCCATAAATTGCGTTTTCACGATGTTATTAGTTATCAATTTATCCAATAAAGAATCCCAATTATTATAAAATAATTTCTTTTAACAATTCTGATCGGCAATTCTCATCCATTCTCTTCGGTTCTTCAGCACATGTGTTGAGCAACGTCGAGAACAAAAAATGAAACAGAAACTAAGATATCTGCGTGTGAATAAGCGATACTAAGGTCCACTGTCTTTGCTAGTGCACTAATCAACACGGACAAGTTTTTTAGACGTCGAATCACCGGTATAATAATTAATCAGACGCTGCGTCAAATCCGTGGCGAAGAAACTCATTATCACATTAAATGCGACCGACGTACCAATTCACCGTAAACGACACGATTCGTAATCCATTTTTTTTTTCCATACGATTCGAGCTTGATCGTGCAAAAAGTGACAGACTTCACGGACGATCGAAATGCAATATTCTTATTTGGGTAAAAAAAAAAAATGGAGCTACATAATTTTCTGTGCTTCTATTCAAGAAAAATTCGTTTCGCGCGACCACGTTACGAGGTGTAAAGTTGCCAACGAAGCGAAAATAATAGAACAAAAATGGACGGTGACATCGAAGATTACAGTTTGTAAATTCGTGCTTATTCAGATTAATTTTTTATCGTACGCTCCGCCATTTACTTTCTTTTCTCCTTGTATCTGTACGAGAGTTAATGGCTTTTATCAGTGATTTTACTATCAAACTCGTTGGGTTGTACAAAAATTCAATTTATGGAGTTATTAACTTGGAGCCGCGTGCAATTTACAAAACTCTATCGTCGCTGTAGGCTTCCGGTGTTAGAACGAAAACGAAATTGAAAAAAACAGCTTTATAATATCGTGCATCTAACCACTTGTTGAAATAAAAATAATTTCACACTTATATGTTTTTCAAATATTAAACTTTTCACACCATCTATCGGTCTAAAAACAGGACTATAGATCAAGACAAACCCGAAGATTAAAACGTAACATTGCTTCAGCGGCTGTAAATGTTTTAAAAGTAAAATATTCATGGATTGTTGCTCGAAGGTCGCGTTCGTGTCATTTTGTATCTGATGAACTGAGATGACAGTGTCATTTGTTTGGCGGCAAATGAGTTTGCAAGATATCGATGGCGACAAAAACACCGAAACGAGTTTTTTGTTATCACTCGATCACACGATTTGCTTTGGGTTCGTATACCTATGGTTGTAAACAATTGTTTGCAAATTTCACTAAAATACTTTGTGCAACCAGTCAGAATCTGTATTCGTCGTAATCTCAATTTCACATACTTTGGATCAATTTATTACATCAATTATTTTGCATTTTCTTCGAAACCGTTTGAATATAGTTGATTTTTGACACCTTTCACTTTCATTAATTTAGAAGCAATTTAAATGAAAATCGATTAGTGTGATAAGTGTATATTATTTTTTAAAAACTCCTAAAACCAATAAAACAGGATGTACATAAGAAATGTTCTTATTAATATTCGACCTCGAATATGCTTTTCCATATAAATTTTATATCCGAGTAAAAGTTACCTAATATTTACAATAATATTTACTTAATATTTTTATATATTTACTCTGTTCCTAGCATAGACAAAAACAGTACAGAAACTCAAAACATCATACATATACGATAAGGTAATAATTTTCTTAAGCAAACATTTAATTTATCTGCTGTACACATTTTCTACTTATAATCATACTTGTACGAGCGATTTTAATCACACGACAACACCTAATTTAAATGCATGTAACTTTACTTCTTCCTGGTCTTTTGAACAATCAGCTACAGATAATTACACTTATATTATACGTTTGTTTTCATAACAACTCTTTATCGTACGGTAACTGAACACCAAAACAAAACTGCTTACGTTTGTGGACATTTGGCGTCGTTTATCGAGTTTTTTTTTATCCTAGCAGGAGTCTTGTTTTATCACATCGATCCACATTTTTAGTTTCCAAAGTTTATCGAAACAGCGAGTAAATAGTTTACGATAAAAGTGAAGCGGAGGAACGCGTGATTTCTGCGTTTGTTTTGCGTTTGATCACTTTTATAACCACTTGGTTTTTAGATAATTCGAAAACGATATGTTAAATACGGTACAATCGATGCACAATAGTTTTTTAACGTGTTATAACAATTTCTGAGGTTGATGGAATCTGCGATCTCCCGTTGTTTCGATACGACAAACGCGTTCGCGGGATGGAAATCGACTGACGACGAGTCGAACGAAAGACAACACCGAGAGTGTTTACCAGTTTTTTCAGTTTTCACGAGAGCCTTGTTGCTCTCTCGCTTCCCCGCGTTCGTTCGAATGTTTATACTTAAATGACGCGTTTATCGATCAATTTCCGATGAAAATTGCCACGCACGCACTGTGCCCTTCAGGTATTTCCCCCGTCGATATCCGGTTCGTTCAACGTTGTGTTTTCCTATTCAATTTTGTATTCTAATGAAACATCATTAATGTTCGTGCACGACGTTGTAATTTTCCAACTATGACTACTTTGTCGCGATAAATTCATTCAACGGAATATAGAAAGCCATACATTTGTTAAAATAATGGAACCGAAAATTTTGATTTTAGACATTTGTAAACTACGTAACTTAAAAATTTGTTTCAGTACTTACTTTTTTAACCTCGTTAAAATTTAAATTCGTTTCCTTTGACATTTAAACTTGAGAATTAATTGTTTCAGTTCCATAGTGAAGTATTTATGTCGATTGCGTTTAATTTCCAGCGACAGTTTTCTAAAGCAGTGCGTTCGGTCGTTTGAAGACGAGGAAAAATTTGTTCAAATATAAACGCGATGTTTCTCAGAAGATCGTGTAACGGAAAACAGTGAGGTCACGTTTATTAAGGGAAAATAGAATATTTATTTTGCAAAAACCAGGCAAAAAGATTGCACAGAAAGCTAAATCTTTAAGATTTTAATATATGTACGCATTCGTTCAATAGCACTAAATGAAATTGACATTTCAAAGCAGTCTCGAGCCGAACGCAATATCCGATTTATCATATTCAGTTTCATTTACGTGCCTCGGACATTGAAGGAATCGTTGATGGATTTATGACGAAATGAAATTCTCCATATTGCTTTGAAGCGATTCGTTTACGTTCCACGTTTATCGTCGGTGACATTTAGGCCAGTGGTTCTTAACTTTTTTCCCTACGAACCCTTACCGATGTTTCAAGCAATATTTAAATGAATATTTTCCAAAAAGCTGCATTAGCAGAGTGGACCAAGAAAAAAAATATACGCACAAGCTTACTCGTGTTTCGAAGCATAAATGGTTAACGCGTATCACGGGTAAGAATGGTTGAGATATGTAGGTTAATGCAAAGATGACGTTGTCGAAAACTGTAGGATTCGAAACAGCAAGTGGTTGGCGTATTCGGGAAAGCGAAACAAACGATCCACGGATCCATACCTCGGAATTTCGGTTGGTTTCTAGTTCCAGACACCACGATGGCGATTGATAGCGGCAGTTCCAAACGAGCTAGCATGGACTTAAGGAATAAACCACGTGTACTGGTTCGACAGTTTCAAACAAATCGCTCCACCGTAGCTTATACCTCGTACACGAGTTCGACTTCATCTGAGAAATCCGGGCCAATCAGGCAGCGAGCTCATCAACCAACAGCTTTTCCTCCCCTTTTCTCTTCTCTTCTTTAAACCAGCCGGTTCATTCTCCGACGGTCGGCCGAAAGAGTTTCTTTCTCACCCCGGTTTCCCCAGGCCTTTTATGCTCCCGGTTTATATTAAGCCTGGTCGATGTTTAAACCATGAGTCCTTCCAGCTGATTCCCAGCGTCGTTCGACGTTCCATCGGTACACCGTGTCTATAGACTTTGTTCCGGGTTGACCACTATTCTCGCTTCTCAATGTCGAGTTGAGAATCCTTGTCATTCCTTCACACGCCATGGAACATCACTCTGGGCTCTGGTATCCTCCGGTACCACCACTCCCATCTCGCGATTTCCGTTCTGGCGATCTAATTTTTCACACCACGTCCGGAGAGTCGTTCCACCGCGCAGGGAAAAGAAAATAGAATGAAATTCCGGTTCCCAGCGGTTGGCGACAAAGCTCGAAAATTAACAGGGACCAAGGATGAATCCATCTAATATCGAATTTAGCCATCTTTATTTCTATAAGGAGTTCTTTCAATTTCAATGCTGAGTATTATAATTTATATATGTCATTCGATATGTATATTTTGCTGATTATCAAAGTTAAAATAGGACAAGAATAAGTAATTATTTCTTTCTGGTATTTAAAGTCGAATTTAGCCAATTTTATTTCTATAAGGAGTTCTTTCAATTTTAATGCTGTGTATTGTAATTTATATGTGCCATTTTGTATGTATATTTTGCTGGATATTTTTACAATTAAAATAGGACGAGAATAAGTAATTATTTCTTCCTACTATTTAAAGTCGAATTTAGCCATCTTTATTTCTATAAGGAGTTCTTTCAATTTCAATGCTGAGTATTATAATTTATATATGTCATTCGATATGTATATTTTGCTGATTATCAAAGTTAAAATAGGACAAGAATAAGTAATTATTTCTTTCTGGTATTTAAAGTCGAATTTAGCCAATTTTATTTCTATAAGGAGCTCTTTCAATTTTAATGCTGTGTATTCTAATTTATATGTGCCATTTTGTATGTATATTTTGCTGGATATTTTTACAATTAAAATAGGACGAGAATAAGTAATTATTTCTTCCTAGTATTTAAAGTCGAATTTAGCCATTTTTATTTCTCTAAGGAGTTCTTTCAATTTCAATGCTGAGTATTATAATTTATATATGTTATTCAATATGTATATTTTGCTGATTATCAAAGTTAAAATAGGGCAAGAATAAGTAATTATTTCTTCCTGGTATTTAAAGTCGAATTTAGCCATTTTTATTTCTATTAGGAGTTCTTTCAATTTCAATGCTGAGTATTATAATTTATATACAGGGTGTTCGGCCACCTCTAGCAAAAATTTTAATGAGCGATAGTAGAGGCCAAAATAAGACGAAAATCAAGAATACTAATTTGTTGATGGAAGCTTCGTTAAAAAGTTATTAACAATTAAATTCAAAAATTTCAAATCGTTCTGGAAAAATTATTTTCGGTTGCGGGGGTCAACTACAATCATTTTTGGTGAGTACACATACCTCCGAAATCCTATCTACTTTCGAGAAAAAAAATCGAGTAGGTGCTGAAATTTTTCGGCGAAAAAAAATTTTTCAAATCGTTTTAAAAAAATTATTTTCGGTTGCGGGGATCAATTACAATCATTTTTTATCATTACACATACCTCCGAAATCGTACGCACTTTCGAGAAAAAAATTCCTTACTGAAAATCCAATTAGGTGCCTAAATTTTTCAACGGAGAAAAAAAATTGCAAATCGTTGTGGAAAAATTATTTTCGGTTGCGGGGGTCAATTACAATCAGTTTTTGTCATTAGACATACCCACGAAATCCTGCCCACTTTCGAGAAAAAAAATAGAGAAGGTGTGAAATTATTCGAGAAAATTAAAAAATTGCAAATCGTTGTGGAAAAATTATTTTCGGTTGTAGGGTTCAATTACAGTCATTTTTGGTGAATAGACATACCCCCGAAATCTTGCGCATTTTCGAGAAAAAAATTCAGTAATAGCGGCACTTTAAACGTTAATAACTTTTTTACGAAGCTTCCACCAACAAATTAGTATTCTTGATTTTTGTCTTATTTTGGTCATTCAATATGTATATTTTGCTGATTATCAAAGTTAAAATGGGACGAGAATAAGTAATTATATCTTCCTAGTGTTTAAAGTCTAATTCGATCATTTTTATTTTTATAAGTAGTTTTAATAAATTGCACAAAAAGTACAGTTGACTAATTTTTACAATCAAGGCTCGAATAATAATAATTTAATTTAAATGTAGTATCTTCTTAGTATCTGAGGGAAAATTTAACTATTTTCATTTTCATATAAATTTTAATAGTCTGGAAAAAATAACCTTTCATTTAGACGCTAAGGAGGAATATTTATTTATTCTTCGCCTCTTTTGGTTTTGCTACGTGCAAAATAACATTGCAAGATATAAATCCGTGTTGAAAACGATGGCAAACGGTGCTCTCATTGTGGAAATCGCGACTTACTTTGCTACTTACATATGTAATGATGGAGCAAGGTCTGTACTACTTATTATGCAGGCATGAAATGTTAGAATTGGATAAATAGTTTCCAAGTACGACAACGAAGATTTCCATCGTGCACAGCCGATCTCGAAGTACGAAAATCGCCACGTAAATCAAGATGATTATACTGTGGCGGCCAAGGCACCACATACGCCTTAGCCGTTCGAAGCCGCTACAATGTATGGTTGCACACGAGACGATGGTTGCACACGAGACGATGGTTGCACACGAGACGACCAGAGCCGCGTGAGCCGAAAAGCCGTTGTCGTCGTCTCTGACCGTCTTTTGTTTTTGAAGGCCTCTTGGTACGGTGGCGATGATCGTACCAGAGAGTCGAGCGTAACCCGCACCACGAGTCACGTCGTTGTACGACAGCAACAATAAAATTGTGCGGAACGGAACAGAGCGGAGTCATTATCTTCCCGATCCCACATTGGTGACCCCGACGTGATCTCGCCGCGCAAGTAAAGTTTTTTTAAGAAAATTTGGACATTTTTTGTATACGGACAATATTAGTTAGTGTAGAGAAATAAGTGTATAGTGTTAAGGACATAAGAAAAGGACACGGTCTGACAAATAGTAAGCGCGGTGTGTGTGTGCGGTGAAACTATTTTTTTTTGTGACCAAGACTGGTAAAATGACTGACCCTAACGTTAACGCAGGGACATCCGCGGGTGTGCCGTTGGCAGTTGATCGCGTCGCTGTACGGATACCCGAGTTTTGTCCGGGAGACCCGGAGATGTGGTTTTCAATGGTAGAGAGAAGTTTTGAGGTATCCAATGTAACGTCGGAGACCACGAAATTCGGGTACATTCTCGGCGCGTTAAGTGCGCGACACGCCGCGGAAGTAAGAGACATTATCATGAATCCCCCGGCCGCGGATCCGTACACGACGCTAAAAAATGAGTTCATTCGCCGGCTTAGTGCGTCGCAGGAACAGAAAACGCGGCGGTTATTGGAACACGAGGAAATCGGGGACAGAAAACCGTCCCAATTTCTTCGTCACCTGCACGGATTGGCCGGTACGGCTTTTTCGGACGGTGTATTGCGGACGCTTTGGAT